CTGGCAAGCGAAAAACTTTGGTAGCTCAAGACGGCGGCTAATAAAGAGGCGGAGGCACCACCCCCCTTTTTAAAACGTGAGTGAGTGTGTAGGTCTGCTGACCGGGCACAATTGAGATATTTTAAATTTTCTTAAGCTATTTGGATCTTTAACAAAGTTAGCTAAGCTTTTTATTTTAAGTTTAAAAAATGCACAAAATGCAAATTTAAATTCCTGCCCTCTGCAGTCTGGGTTATCGAAAAACCCTTTAAAAACCTTTAAACTTTATCAGCAAACATTCTTCAAACATTTATCTAGCTTGGAAGCTTTGCTAGAGTGGCTCTTATAGAAATTTATCAATTCAAATAAATTGAACTTCCCAGCTGAAGTATTTAATCCCTTTTTTTCTAGACACCTACGGAAATGATTTCTCGTTTTATGGTCTTCAATGGCCCAGAGTGTAAGCCACAAAATAGCCAATCACTGACCAATGAAACACTTGGCTTTCTTGATTATTATGAATCTTAATATTAACATTTAATTTACCCATCATAAAGGAGAAATAACTCTTTAACACACCTTTAAAATGAGGTAAGAAATACCCCAGGTAAATGCAATTTTGGCAAGACAGATTTCCACCACCTTTAAGTCATTTAATATTTTCCGCATGTGGTGGGCATAAAGTTTTACAAGTTTAATTATGCAGACAGCAGCAGCAGCTTGATGCAGACAATGAAGTCCCTGGTTGGTTCCCTGGTGGATGGCCAATTAAAAATGTTAAGTTTATTCGCATATCAAAAGGACTGGCCCAAAAAAGACATGGGCCAGCCATGGCAGGGATACTCAAAATGAATTTTGTAATTTATGAATGCGTTAATTGCAAGCGGCAAGGACAAAGGCAGCGGCCTTCTCATTAACTGCACAAACGTGGCGAAAAATTAAAGCCATCTCAGTCAGCTCCATTGTGCTTGTCCTTCCCCCACCGTCACCATCCTGTCACCCCATTACCCCTCCTCACCTCACATACAATTAAAAAGTCAACACCTTGAATTGAACTCACACACACATTTAATGGCTTGAGGGCATTTTTGGGTCTGGAATGTTGCCCCGCACCTTGTCGAAGAAAGAAACAAAAAAAAAAAAAAAGAAAAAGAACGTCGCATGCTGCGAAAATTTTCACAGTAATTAGCAAAGTTTTTGCGCCTAAAAAACAAAAGGGCATCCGGCTTTTTTGTAGGCGCCTGTCAGGCTAGGGCGGATCTAATGAAAAGGCTCTCTCGTCGACCCCAAGTACGAGTAAATGATACCCCGAATATATATAGTGGTAGCACCCTACACCCCAAAAACAAACTGAAACCAAACGGGGCTGACGTGGCTTAATCCAATTTATTTCAAAGAACTTTGTGGGCTAGATGAGGGGCACGCAATTTGCATAACTTTGATATGAGTCGGGCCATGTGTTTTCGCTCAGCGATAATCACATCCACTCCAGACTTGAACAATATTTTCAAGAGCCACTCAGTCAAACTGATTGCCGCTGAGAATGAATTAATTTATTGCCAACACGTTGAGAAAAGTGCTATTATTACGACTTTGTTTTTAGGAACAGAAATAGTTAGAAGTTTGATAGAATAAAAGAGCTTCTTAAATGGAAAATAATAAGTAAAACGAGTTTATAGTTTTATTTTTATTGCCTACTTTTTGGACGCCAACATAATTCGTCATACATTTAAAACATTATTTTGGTGTTTTATATTAGGAACAGAAATAGTTAGAAGTTTAAAAGAATAAAATAGCTTTTTATATGGAAAATAATAAGTAGAACAGTCTATGGTGTTGTTTTTATTGCCTACTTTTTGGGTGCAAGTATAATTCTTGATACATTTCAAACAGTACTTTGGTTTTTCATATCCAATCCTAGCCACTTTCTCACAGTGCACTGCTTGAAAGGTATTACTCATTCAGAGAGGCGACACCTCTGGCCATATTTCAATTATATAAGGCCAACTCACTTTCACCGTTTCGCTTGAGAGCACCAACTTTCGGAACGAATAAATTGCCAAGACCAAAAAAATGCCTCCTCTCAAATGTATGCAATAAAATTCATTTATTTAAAAAGAAAAAAGAAACATTTCACAATATAACAAATTAGCATTGAAATGGATACGAATTTTTCATACAATTGGTAGGTTTTTATCGCTTTTGCCTTGAGACCACGGAACAAGGCTAAAAAGGACCTGTGGATGGACCATAACGTTGGTTAAACATCACAAATCAGAGGGAATGTTTATGCATGATGCCAAAAGAGCAGCGAGAGAGGGAATTTCATAAAAATTAAATTGTGCATTCGTGCAGATTTGTACGCTGAAATTGTGACACAATATGCGACAGTAATAAATGTTTTTTTGGGGGGCAGACAAAGAGTCCTGCTACTCGGGTTAGTACACAGTTTTGGGGCATGCGTTGCCATGGCAAGCTAAAAACCAACTCGGGCAAAACAATTTTCACACGTGCAAAACTGCAAGAGGCAAGCTCATAAATTGCCACAGCCATGTTGCTGCTCCTGATGATGATGATGATGACGATGATGAAAGTGTGGAGACTAGGTGGGGTCATAGTTAAATCCTTAAAGGACCCGGGTCTCCCTTTCAATGTGTGTTCTGTGGGTTTTCGCCCGCTCAAATGCAAATGATCAAAATAATTACATGAAGCGCACTTTTTTTTCACCGCCCGCTCTTCGCGCACAAAAGACAAGCGCAGTTGCAACTCCAGAATGATGAAAATGAGTTTTCTTTACAAACAAAATTAAAAGTAAAAGGAAGAGAACGAGGACGAGGACGAGGATGAGGAACAGAAACGAAGTTGGTGGTGGGAAAATTGCACACCAAATTCAACGATGTGCAAAGTTATTTTTCACAAGTGCTTTGCAGCCCGCCCATGTCGCCTGCATGTGGATGTGGCCATGTGGTTCTGTGGATTTCCGTTAACTTATGGTTAGCAGAGGGTCTCTCTGTATGTGTGTGTGTGTGTGTGCATCCTATTCTGCCCACCATACCATCCTGCATTTCCCATTCTCTACAGAATTTTCCTATTTTTATGCTGTGCAAATGACAGCAATTTTTCATAGGGCAAAGCGCTTGCAAAACTCCCTCTAGATCTCGTTTTTCGCCCCCCTAAACTCCACCCCTTCGTTTCCGTTGTTGTCTTTTGCGAGGTGCCAAGTGACAATAATTTTGTCTTTTTCGCAACCCTGCCAGGCCAGGAGAAGAGACAAGCCAGACCCACACGCTAACCCTCAGTCGGGGCTTTTGTTTCGCTGTCACTGCCTAATTGCCAAGATTTTGTGCTGCTTGGTAGACCGAAAGAAGAACCCCGGTTGAGGGTAAAGGGTCCTCACCCTCCCCCTCTCCCCTGAACGAAAACCTTAAATTGTGAATTTTGAAAAACCCCAAAGCGCAGCTTACTCTGTTTATTATAACACATACGCCCTGTGGTACAAGGAAAAAGTATTTAAATGGAGCGCAGCGGAGTCTTTTTAATGGTAATCTTAAATTGGTGTAATTTGTAAAAGGTTAAGTTGGAAATAGATAGTAAAAGGTCTTTGGGTAGAGCCTGAGGATATGCTCTTTGGAAACCTATAATTTAAGACATTCCCAGCCCCAGAAACCTATCACTTAGGAATTACTTTTTATGGTCACCCTATTAATTTTGTAAAAATCCAACAGATCATTGAACCCCCACAAAATGCAGCAGACATCAAATTAAAGCAACAACTTGTGCGTTATTTTTATTGAATCATCAAAATCAGACGCTGAACAAGTCGAACGTGGCTTAAATCGCTCGCTGGGAACTACTCATAACTGTTTGGCTTGCTGTGAAAATATCAATAAAGAAAACTAATGAAGTGCGCGCTGCCTTAAGTGGCTTATTGTCACTTTGACACCCACACACACACACACACATGCACTGAGTCCTTACGCTTATATCTCTGCATGTGTGTGTGTGTAATGTCAAAGGGCAGACGCATGTCGAGAGCTCAAGGGGAAGGCAATCGAGTCACGCTGAGTCTGTGTACGTCTGTGTGTCGCGTCGCATCATAAAATCCGCACTTATTACTCCTTTTATGCAACTAAATATGTACACACAAGTAAATAGCCAAAGGGGGTGTGAGTATGTGTGTGTGTGCGCGATTGTTCGCCTGTGTGTGTTTACTTACTTTCGGTTAAGTGGACACTGTCACTGGCTTTCTTCCTTGGAGCTAACTGCACTAAGAGAAAATTGGAAGGACTTTTAACCTTAAAAATCAAAATAAATAAACACATTTTTAGTCTAAAATAGTTCTTTAAACTAAATCTAAAAATGAATTTAAAATTAATAATTTATATATTTTCATAATTATAGTTAATTTTATACATATTTTCTCCCCGTGATACTGCCCTTTCTGCTCTTAAGTTTTGGGGCTATTAGCAGCCAGGCAACATCCTTCGGGGTCAAGAGGCCGCCATCCTGCGGCCCTTGTCTTCGCCTTTCCACACACAAGGACTCATATATTGGCCAGCCAAGTGCTGGCAAAATATTTACGCTACGTCATTGGCTGAGTAAATGCAATTCATGGGACTCATAAATTGCAAATCGCGGCGAAAAAAAGTAAATAATTAAGAAAGGCGTGGGATTTAAAGACAATAGCTTTGGATCAAAAGAAAAGCTTAGCAGGGGAAAGCTCTAGGAAAATGATAACCCAGCTTTTCCAAAAAGTTTCCCTCTAAAAGTCGTTGTCTAAGACAGTTTTTTTTCGGCAGCAAAAGCCAAATGTAGATGGCGCTCCATCATAGAAAAAGAAACTGTTATTAACTTAAGTTGATATCATGATGAGATTATAACGTGTATTAAGGGCCAAATTACTTCCTCATTTACCATAATTTCATTTTCCGTGTTGGCATTGCCATTTCCTGGTTTAACCCATAACAAAAACCTCTTCAGCAGTTATTACGCTTAATTTGAAAACATTTAATTACCATTAATTATATTTTTGTATAATTACATTTTCTGTTTTATTGTTACATTTATATGCTTATAGTGCATCATCATATATATTATGCTTAGTAAAATCACGCAAATGTTTCATTAAAAATTGATGCCTTCATTTTTGTAACGTTGTAAAGAGAACGACGTGCTGTCCCGGGGAAGTCGTTATTGCTTTTGCTCTATCCATGGCTATTGTTGCAATTAAATTCGGCCAAATGATGATTTTGTTGGGCTTTTTGTTGTTTTCATTGTTTTTTTTTTCTTCCATTGTTGTCAGCTTCCCCATTGCGATTTAATTAAAATTATGAACTCGCTTAGTTGGCATTAAATAACAAATAAAATAAATTCTACATGCGATTTATATAAAAAAAGTTCTTGTTTTTCTTTTTGATTTTGTTTTTTCCTCTCTTTTTTTTTGTTGTTCCTCCTTCTGGTGTATACACTTAGCAAAAATACGCATTACAAACTATTAGCAGTGTTGCCTTCAAGCGGGCGGGGGCGGTTGGTGGCGGAGGATGAGGCGTGGTGTACACATTTAAAACCTAAGAATATCATTCGCACTCGATTTTTGAGAGAAAGAGCTGCGGAGCATTAGTGATCCATGCAAAGAGTAAATTATCCATTAATCTCTGGATTTCCCACCTACATCCTAGTACCTAAACTGTCCCTTCTTCCCCCTCTCGTTGTGGTAAACCCTCAGTGGCGAGTAGCTACCATTTCCGTTTCCATTCAGTGACGCTCCAGCTCCATTTCCGTTTCCAGTTCCATTGCCAGCACCGTTTCCGGTTCCTGTATTGCCAAAGTTCTGGGAAGCCGATCCAGAGATCAACTCCTCGGAGTGCTGCGGCTTGGCAGTGCAGCGTGGAGCAAGGATTAGATTGTAGATTCCAAAGTAAACCAAAGCCACCACGCAAGCTACGATTGCCAGCCATTGGTAGGTGCAGGACCAGGCCTCCAGTTTGGGGTTCCTCTCATCGCGAGCCAATCCAATCAGAGCGCCAAAGCCTTTGCCTGAAAAGAGTATGTTTTAATATTAGTATCTAAATTAAATTTTAACTTAGAGGCACTTACCCAATCCAAAGAAGGCCAAGACAGCAATTGCCTGTCCAGTAGCAGTCAGTTTCCTTGGCATGGCATGTCGCATATACAAAATGATCGTGATCCAAATCAAACCAATAACAGCCGGCTCAATGGTCTCCATGATGACAGTCAACCACTCAGTCTGGGCATCACTCAAGGCGGTAAATCTAATCACAAAGATGGCCAAACCACCGATGAAGATATTCGAGTGACCACAGTACTCGATGAACTTGTCCACATTGAAGAACAGAACCAGGATGAGGATCAGACCCGAATAGCACACGGCATTCGCATCAATGAAGGTCCAACGGAGGTAGCTATGAATGCTGCTCCAGAAGGTGCCGAACAGAATGGATACCAATGTGAGCACAAAGATCTCGGGACTGTAACGACGAATGGCTGACATGGGAACCACCAGCATTCCGGTCTTCGTGTGCCACCACCACTCCGGTGGACTAAGAGGCATCTGAGAGGCACAGAGCAGCACTACGGCACCCAAAACGAAGCTTACGATGAAGATGATAAGAGCAACCAGGGCAGCATCATGGTTGGGTTCGTTTTGGAAGAAGAACAGATCCAGTGGCGAGAAGAGCACCACATAGCCAATGGCACCCCAAACATATTGGCGGCACACCTCTCCCCTGCCCTCTGAGGTTTCACGCACAGCGATCACAATTGCGGTGTTGAGGAGAGTAAGTGCAGCCATGGGGAAAATGTCTCCAATCAGTCGAATGGTGGTATAACCCACAAGGGTTTCCTGAACACTGCCAGTGGTCTAAAATAGATTTTAAAATTGTATAAAATATTAAAAAAAATAAAATAGTAATCCTTACATTGGTACACTCGCTGTCTGAGAGCACACTCTTCTCATGGTAGGGATTCACCACCTGACACTCAATCATGGGCTTGCAGTTGCTGTCGTTTTGCATGTACTGCTTGAAGTCCTTCATGTAAGTCACCTGCTCAGCGGGAATGTGGCACTGGAAGCCCTCTGAAAACCAAAGAACATAGTTACAGGTCATTTTAATATTTAAATCAAACCTAAAACATACGTTTTAACTATTTTAAGTAGTTAAAAGTATAGATTTCCGATTTAACTCACCCAGTGGATACTGGCACCATCCCTCATAGTCATCATAGTGCTCCTCCTGACTGATAGCTGAACCCATAAGAGCATCCATCACCACGCTGGTGGTGTCTTCAGTGTAGGCATGACAGTGCTTCACCACATCCTCACCATCCTGGTTGCGCTGAGTCAGGCAGACATGCGGCGGCTGAACGTAGACCTTGGTGGGGGGCTTCTTGACCTGTCTGATGGATCGGTGGACAGGGGCCTCACCACTGATGGCCTCCACACCTGCACTATCAGCTACATCAGAGCTCTCCAAGTCCCTCCTGGTGCGCAGACTTTCTGTGACCGCAGTACTGGCCTCATCCTCATAATCGAACTCTGAACTCTGCTCTGTAGAAGGCGCTGGTGTAGGAACCTCTGCTAACCAAGCCACATAGAGCGGTTCGTAGAGCTTGGGATTCTGGCAACTGTAGGTGCAACGCGTCAGGTTGATCTTGCCCTCCTTCTGATCCCACCGGCTGCAACTAGAGTTTGAGCCACAACGCTCTTGGAACAAAAATCCTCCAGTTTCATCGCAGCCAAAGCTGACCAGTGGCTCACGGATCTCCCCACGCCTAGTAACTTCTGGTACAGCAAACAGGAAAGCGTAGATAAAGGCAGAGATCAGCAGGAACACGGCTGTCAAGACACGCAGAGTCCTTCCAAATGTGTTCGGATTTTTGGCAGCCAAACGATCAGCCCAAGGACCAGCGATCAAAGGACCCAAAATGGACACAAATGGCGCCAAAATGGTAATGGTGCGGTATTCCGAGAAGTTCAGGCCCAGAAGCAGGGGCTTTGTGGCATGCAGCACATGCAAAGCTGTGAGACCTGTAAAGTAAAATTAAGTTAGATTAATATAGGAAAATTTGATTAATAATAATTGATATATTATAATATTGATTATTTACAATTGATCTTTCTTGAGTGTGGCAAAAATAAAAGTAACGGAAAAATACATACGTAGTCCCGCCTTTAAGGAGATTCTGGCGGTGCCTAACTCGCTTAGAGTGACCGTCCTTTTTCTCACGCTCTAATTGAGTATATTAGTATATTTTAAAGAAGAGGTGGCTGAGACTAGTAGGTATGACCCCTCTTGGTTACTCTGGCCACGTCACTACAAGATCCCGCTTTAATATTATTTACTATCTGTTTTAACTCACCGGTAATGACAAAGAATACCACAAACTTCAGCGATATCAACGTCTTGTTGACACGCGGCTTGCGCTCGGCTATAAAACCCATTGCCTCGATTCGGGTTACTACAAACTATCTGTATAAAATCTCAGTAATTAAGCCACCTTTCGGGGGTTTCGTTCTTCCTCGTCGATTTCCTCTTCGTTTCGTTGGGACTCAGTTGCTCATGTTAAACTCGATGGGTACTGTAGATGAAAAACCAAGAATAAGAACAAGTTAATAATAGTTGTTTATATTTTTTAACATTTTCTTAGATGACAAAAGAAGACAACCAAATCGACATTGAAATACGAGTACAAGAGCCTCACGCAACCGCAAAAGTCACAGAAACCCAGTAACGGTAAGTAATAGCAACTGAAACCACAAATAAACAATAAGATATGAGAGGCTGTAAAAACTATTTGAGCACCCATCAGTATGTGGATGCTACACATTTTGATGCTAGCCTCTGTCCAATTTGTGGGCATATCAAAAAGCAATCAAGCCATTTGATGCCACCACCCATCGATGATAATCGGCTGGCAAACACAACAGGCTGCTGAAAATCATTCGAAAAGCTCATTCAGAGAGCCCCTCTGATATTACAAATATAAATATATACGTGTCACAATGGGGTGTCAAAAATAAACAAGTGTCAATAGGCAATAGGCCACAGTCGGCGTTCATAACACACATACGCACCATTGCACAGCACAGCGGCTGCCAGGGCAGCAACAACATCAATAACAACATAACTAAAATAACACTGTAATTGAACACAATGACAACAACAAACATCGACAAAACAGTAATGAAATATATATTGTGCCTGCCCTAGACATAAATTTAAATTAACTGTCAACGAAATTGTCAATGGCACGTTTGTAGCTTTAATCGTCAGCAAACTATTTGCTAAAGATTATGATAAGAGAGAATGCTGGAGGGGTTAAATTGTGATGCATACAAGTGCAGTCAATGTTATAGTACTTTAGGTTATTATTAATCACCGCATATGTGAAATAGTTACCAATTCTTCATTAATTCCTCAAAGATTTCAAAGAGAAGAAAATATTTTCTTAATTCTTGTATTTCAATTTAGTTGATTGTAACTACAGATCTGCTATTCATTCAACCCCTCCTGTATTCTTAATGCAACCACTAGACAGTGCATTAAACCCACTCGACAAGTAAATTGCTTGATAATAACTAAAACGCATGTGAGGAAGGCAAAAGAAACCCACTCTTTCGCCTGTCTGAATTGCAATTTGCAAGATGATACTTAAAGTGATATCTGTTCCTCAGCATTGACAGTGGGCAACGTGTAAGGAAAGGAAAAGGAAAGTGCCAGACGGTTATCATATTTTCCGAACTGCGCAGCCCAGCTGAGAGAGAACTCAGATGGCGAGAAACGAGATTTAAGTAGTTTGTGGCAAAACCGGTTGTTTGGCTTGTCGTCTAGGCAAATTACATCACCCCGAGCAAAAAGGCAGAAAAAGCGAAACATTTGACTGACTCTGCGTGTGATCTACGCCCCCAAAAGAAGAAAAACAAAAACTCAACCCAACCCAAACGAACGGAAGGTCAGGCAGATGGGCATCCATCTGCAAAATCTCCACGAGAAACCACCAGCTAATTGAACGAATCACATCAACTCCAAGGTCTGATTTACATACAATTTATAAACTGTTAAGCTTTTAAATGCTAGAGGGTCAATCAATAATGTAAAACTCGAAAGCCAAGCCAAAGGCCAAGCGAAACACAAACACAAATTGATAAGTAAACATAATATTTAGTCTGGCCAATGAGTCATCTATAAATGCCCTGTAATCTTACAAAAATAGATGGCTTATCAGTGGGATGAAGCTGCAACAAATTGAGTTTAACAAAAACAAAACACAAAATATTACCGGCTTATCTTAGCATCGCATTGAATTTAGCCGGAGGTTTGGTACTGAAAAAAAAGTCAAACTGCTAAACAAAAGCCAAATAAACCAGCAATGCATGACGTAAGCCAAATAATAACAAAAACAATACGAGAGCAGCTATAAAAAATGTCGCTGGCTTTGAGACCAAAATTCAAATTAGTAACCAGCCGACGAGCAAAAGCAAAAAGGCTGAAAAAAAAACTATATAGCTTCAGTTTCAACTTAATGACAATACGCCCAGCACGCACACACCCAAAAAGAAAAACTAAAAACCCCCAAAACAAAACCATCCAAATCCGGGCTCCACAGCCTGGACTACCCAGTGATTGCCCCACATGAGCACTACCTATGACACAGTGCGCTTATTTATGACCTAAGGTAAACTTTGGCCGGCGCTAGCCCCAGAAATTCCAAAAAAAAAATAAAAACAAAAAACGAAAAACATACAGAAACAGCAACGTAAACCAAAATGGCTGGCATTTTCCTATTGCGTGTTCGGGTGGGCCGAGATCGGAGGAAGAGGTGCCATTCGAATCTAAGGGAACTAGCTCCAAGCATTTGACAATTAACCGTACTGTATATAGCATAGAATATGTATATATCTGTACAGGCGACAAACATCTGGCAAGTCTCTAGAAGATTTGATTTTTATATTTCCAAAATAAATCATGTTAAAGCTTTTATAAATCCATCTTGTTATCTTTCCGTTTTTAGTGCCCTTGACGCCCACATATCTTATGAAAAATATTCTGCCTGCTCTTTTAAAAGATTTTCTGATGATTTACTGCATTACTTGGTTTTCTTATTTCACAAAAAAGTCTAAGTATGTCTATATAAAAAATGTTAGGAAGATCTTTTATACTTATGATCTGATTAACTTGATATTATGTATTATGTTATGTTACTTACAAACTTCTCAGCATTCAAATTTATTTATAATTTTTTAACTTTTTAAAACCTTATACCTTTCCTATCTGCTTTCCCCATCGACAGCTTTGCCGCCTGAGCAAATTATCCGAGTTTTCTTTTTCGGTTTTCGCCACACGCCCGCTTGCAACTTTTCCGCTTGGTTGGCCTCTGCCTTTTGTTTCTGCTGCCAAATGAAAACCCACTGTGAGAACTCTGCGTGCATGTTTGTTACTTTTTTTTGTGTGAGGAACTTGATGGCGTCGCCAGTGGTTCGTTAATTATGTACAAATGTGTCAGTACATAGGTAACCGAAAATAGAAATTTAATTACAACATAAAGCAATCAGCCTGACCCTCTGCTGTTTATCAGCTTCATACTAAATCACTTTGTAAATGTCAATTAGTGATAAGGCCAAAGCTGGAGACCGAAAATCGAAATACAATGAGGTAATACATTTGCCCATGCCTTATGCAAATCGAATTGGTTGGATTTTTTGCATTTGTTTGTTTGTTTTTGTTTCTTTTCTCATTGTTTGCGCAACACATTTTAACACCTTAACGGGCTGCTGAAAATTTACGTTTTTTGCGCTGTCAAATATTTTTTCTTGAGTGCAAAAGTTAGCTCCTAGCTATTGGATATCTAATATCTGAAACACACATTGTGGGTCAATTTTATTTAGATTTTTTTTAGAGAGAGAAGGGAGAGGGGAAACTGCTTCAGACAGCTAGCCGCCCGCTTAATTATGCGTAACACGACTACAGAAAATAAAATGCATAATAGAAAAGCCGCAACAAAGGCCGCTTGCATTTAGCTTAAATTTATGAATGGATATACAAACTATAGTAGCCAGGGCGCACTGTGCCGGGGCTTTAATTAACATTTAAAATGCATAAATTGTGCCACCATTCGAACTGTGTCAACAATTTGGATCCGAACATGGGCGGCAAAAGCTAACGTAGGTTGATTGCCACGGCAAGTGCAACGTCTTTGAAGGTCTAGACATTAGACTAAAGACTCTTGAAAAGGTCCCAATGAAAGTGAGGAAAATTTATTGTTTTTGCCTGGATTTATGCCAGATTTTTCAGCCAGTCAATGCACTGTTAATGACTTAAATCTACTAAATGCAACATTAAGTTTTTCTCCATTTCAATTTTACTCGAGCTTACTGAGTGTTAATTTCGTTTGTAAATTTGCACATTTCTTGGCAATTGCCTTTTGACATTTAGCCAGCATAAATTTCCCAATACGCAAATCAGTTTCGCCTGCTTAAAGTCCCCTCTCTCTTGCACATATTTATCGATTTGTTTTGGTATTTGATCGTATTGGTATCGTATTTGGTATTTTCATCGTAATATTCTACAGTTAATTGGGGCTCTCTATTTGTTTACATTTCAGTCACGTAGCGAAATTCTGGTTTATTTTCCACATTACTATTGCACTCGAACGACCTACACTCACTCTATAGACCCACACACAAATCTCTAGTTGAATGAACGTAGAAAAGTGCCGCACCGTTAATCAATTGGGTAAGTTATAAAGCTATAGACTGACTGACTTATTGATGAATTCGTCAGGGGAGTTTTTGAGGTGAGGCAATCACATTGCACGCCTGCGGGACAAACCTTGGCGACGATACTTTATGTGGCACATTTCCGTTAGGGCTCCATTAATGATATTGTGCAACGATTTCATTGTTTTCGTGTGAGGTCTTTTCAAATGCTAGATTTGCATTTGGCATTGCCATTCCCTCGGTGCATTATGGAAATATGCCATAAAGACATTTTCCTGACTCACAGTCGTGTGTTGACAACTCGTCTGGAATGCTGCCAGCTCAGATGGGCCTTAACGAAGTACACGAAGCTACAAAGATCATAAGTATAAATATATCTTATATATATTCTGATGTATATTAGCAACTAAATTTTCATTCCTCCCAATATTTTTAATCATTATTTTTACACTCTCTTAAGATCGCTATGAAGAAATCTAATATATTAAAAGGTGCTTAAACGTATTAATGAGGGTGAGAATAGAATATAGACTATACTTTTCATAGTCTTACATTTCAGAATACCTAAATCATGTAGTCTAGTGCTCGATATACAAATACGCTTCAAGTCTATTTATATTCCTTCCACCCACTTGTCTTCAAGCAAATTACAATCAACTTAGCATCTTTCGATCGGCTGAAATGCACTTAAAAACGCATTCCCATTAACAGAATAACAACATAACAAGGCTCCCCTGAGGAGCTATTTGGTTATTTGGTCACGCCCCTAACCGGGTGATACACGCAATCCACTTCCAATCCCTTTCCCTCCAGTGCACCTTCTATATATGCTAGCCCATGTTCGCTGCCGGCTAATTAATTA